CTTCCTCTCTCAGAAAACACTTCCTTCCACGAAGGCCAGTTCTAACGATGCAAATCAATCCCATCAAACCCCTGCTCTACACTCTCCGTTGTCTGTCCTGCAAAGCCCAACGTGATCTATCTGCCGCCAGCCTCTCCCATCTCAGCTCCCACTTCCCCCGTCCGTGACTCTGCACCAGCCACACGTGTTTTTCTTTTCCTCAACGTGCCAATTTGTTCCAGCCTCAGGGCCTTTGCAGCAGCTGTTTCTTCCACCTGGAGCGCTCCTCCTCCAAATGGATGCTTCCTTTTCAATGTTTGGGTTTCAGGCCCGATGTCATCTTCTGAGATATCTCCTCTGATCATGTCCCGACCACTTCACCCTATATTATTTTCATCCTTGTACTTGTCACCACCTAAAACTCTCTGGTCCTTTGTATCTTATTTACCATGGATCTGCAGCGGTCAGAACACTGCCCAGCCATGGCAGGTACGCAGTACGTTTGTTAAATAAATGAACCTCTTTGTTCACCATTTAAACATAAATCAATGATCTTCAGAATGGTCTCTCTTCATTCTAGAGCTTCTAATATGTAAGTGTCTAGACAGTCCTTTTATTTTTGGCATTTTTGGCAAAGTGACTTGCTTCTGGAATTTAACAAAACCAGACAACGCCTGTCTCCCTAGTCTCATCCGAAGCTGTGCCACCTCTTCTAGAATCTCCCGAGACTCTCACTGCCCAACCCTCCATAACAGCAGGACACAGATAAGACAAAGTTTTTACAAATCCCGCTGGAATATTCTACTGCCTGAAAAACTGGAGTGCCACTGGACTGGAGCCTTCAAGCCGGAGGCAGCCCGAAGCTAGCAAGTGCCCCTGGCTTCTCAGTGCCTGAACACATGGGATTAATTCAGGCAGGAGCCAAGCAAGAAATGCTGGCCCCAGAGAAGGGCTAAAGAAAGAGAATTTTAAAATTCAGACGGAATAGAAAATGGGAAGAGGGGAGAAAGTGGGTAGAAAGGTAGGAAGGACTTACCTTCTTTAACCCAAGGAATCTTAACCTGCTAGGATTGATATTAAATATTAAATTTGGTGTTTGCGTGTGTGTTAGGGAGAGGGTTTATCTTTTTATCAGAGTTGCAATAGGATCTGTGCCCCAAAAGATTAAGAACCACAGATATGGAAGGCATGCAATTAGGTTAGCGAACCATCTCCATCCTAAATATGACCCAAACTGAAACAATCACGAGAAAGGAAAAGTGCTTTGTGCTCCAAAGAAAACAAAAGCCATTTCCAACAGGAATTGGCTGTCACATTCTCTGCGCTTGGAAAAAAATCAACAGAGCATCCGCCCAGCTCGCCCACGGCCCATCCCTTAAGCCCAGGTCTCCAGGGAAGGCAGCAAGCCTTTGTTTTCCAGTCTGTGGGCAACTGGCTGGGCAGGGAGCCAGAGAGGAGAGACCTCGATGATAGAAAATACTGAGATTTGCCAGTTCGTGCAGGATAGAAGCACCCACAAGTGGGCTCTGGCTGATGCCACAAGACCCACCAGGTGAGGAAGAATGGGCTGGCTGCAGACTCAGCACTCTCTCCTGCTTTCTTGATTTGTCTCCAGCCAGGCTATTGGACCTGCTTTTCTCTCTGAGTGCCGCGGGGCACCACAGTATTAGTCATGGGCCTGGGGACTATTCTAAGTAGATTTTGGACTCTTCATCATTTGCAAGCCCATATTTCTCCTTGTGGTCTTGTGGCCTTGTGGCCCCACTATCAAATTGGAGCTCCTGCCTATATAAAGCTGTGTCACATCTGGTGTTCAGAAAGGACACTCCCTTCCCCTGGCCCTTCTTGCCTTTGTAAGAGGAGGACCTGAGACGTGGCAGAAGTCCCAATAAATGCTGGAAGGAGATGCGTGAGCAAGCAGACAAGCCCAGAGCCAGTGCGCTGTGCCAGCACTTGGTATAACCTCCAGGGAGGGCGCAGTCCACAAACGTCCCGGCTTCCAAGAGGCAGGCCCTGGGTGTCAGCCCACAGCCATCGCCTCTCCATGAGCCTCATGGATTCTCTCTCAGCCTTGAATTGTTATGGTTAGATGTTTGTAGACATTCTACCTTTACTATCTTCCAAAGGGCATTCTTGATTTCCTCTCCCAGATCTGATTCTCCTCCAAGCTTCCCCTTCTCAATAAATGGCACCTTCATCACCTAGCGACTCATCCTTCGGGACCCAGCTAAACAGCACCTCCTCCTGGGAAGACCTTCCCATACCAGAAATGAAGCGGCCCCCCGCAGCGACCCACACACAGAAAATGCCCTCTTTCAGGTCAGCCTGTTTATCACGTTCTGAAATTATTTTGTTTTTCCGTGTGTCTTCCCACGTGAAGTCCATAAGGATAGACACTCTCCATATGCATCTCCAGAGTCACTCCCCAGCCTTCTCTCCTCTCCTGTAGGTCTGAGGAAGTTGACAGATACAGTCTGTGTCGCCCGAGCTCCCCAACCCCCAAGTAGGAGATGGGAGAGTGGACAGTGGGGCTGGGGGATCTCTTCCCACCACACCGTAGGCAGCAGCCTTCTCCTACAGCTCTTGATGGTTTCTAGTAGCTGCCTCCACGCCTTCCTCTCCTAGGCCCAGCGGTGGTAGTGCTGCCATCTGTCACCAACCCTGAAGTGCCTCGCCCATCCCTTCCCCAGGGCTCTCTTAACCCTGCACACACCTGTGCAAAGAGTCCTTCCATTAAACTCTCCTCTGTGACCCCTCTTGAATGTGCTACTTGTTACCTGACAGTGATTCTGACCAATACAGGGGCCATGTCTGACTCACTGACTACTGTTTCCCCAACAATGTGCTAAGGAATGTCTGGCATGTCTTAGGTACTTAATATGTGTGTTTTGAATGAATGATAAGGATTCCGTGTTTTTCTTCACATCTTTATTAAGATATAATTCATGGGTGGTTCCACAAGAGTAGTGGTTAGCACGTCTGCTTTACACGCAGAAGGTCCTGGGTTCGAGCTCCGGTGGAGCCACGGTTCATACCCCGGGTGCGCCAGGCCGGGGGCACCCGGGTACATGCCGTGAGCACGTGGGAGGAGATGCCCCCACTTCTTAAGGGGAGAAGGCAACATCCATATGTCAGGGGTGTTAGTGCTGGGGAGGAATTAAAAAAAAAAAAAATAAAAGATGTAATTCACATACCATAAAATTCACCCTCCTAAGGTATTATAATTCAGTGGTTTTTGAGTATATTCGCAAGCCTGTGAGACCGTCATCACTATCAAATTCCAGGACATTTTCATCACCTCAAAAAGAAACCCTGTAGATAGGGGTGGGGGGAGGATAAAAAGGGTAAAAGGGATCAAATATATAGTGGCCGAAGGAGACTAGACCTTGGGTGGTGAACATATAATGCAACATACAGATGATATATTATAAAACTAGGTACCTGAAACATATAATGTTATTAATCAATGCTACCCCAATAAATTTAATTAAAAAATGAAGTAATTATGGATTAAGGTCACTGTATAAAAAAAATCCTCCTGTAAAGAATTAATATTATTAAAATAGCCACATTACTTAAAGCAATACACAAATTTAATGCAATGCCCATCAATATCCCAATGGCATTTTTCACAGAAATAGAACAAAAATTCCTCAGTTTTGTATGGAACCACAAAAGACCCCAAATAGCCAAAGTAATCCGGAGAAAAAAGGACAAAGCCAGAGGTTTCACACTCCCTGACTTAAAACTATACTAAGAAGCTATAATAATTAAAATAGTATGGTATTGGCAGAAAAACAGGCACATGGACCAATGGAACAGAATTAAGGATATATGGCTTCAAAGTATACTACAAAACAACAATAATCAGAACAGCATGGTATTGGTAGAAAAACACACATAGACCAATGGAACAGAATTGAGAAGTCAGAAATAAACTACCACATATGTGGGTAAATAATTTTCAACAAAGGAGTCAAAAACATACAATGGAGAAAGGAAATTTTCTTCAATAAATGATGATGGGAAAATTGGAAAGCCACATGCAAAAGAATGAACCTAGACTGCTAATACCATACACAAAAATTAACTCAAAATGGATTAAAGACTTGAATATAAGACCTGAAATAATAAAATACATAGAAGAAAACATAGATACTGAACTTATGGACTTTGGCCTCAGAGAGGTTTTCATAAACTTGATCCTAAAGGCAAGGGAAGTAAAAGCAAAACGAATGAATGGAACTACATCAAACTAAAAAGTTTCCGTACAGAAAAGTCAACAAAACAAAAATGCCTTTGAATGAGATGTACTTTATACTTTGAGTTATTAGATATGTTTGTATTAAAGAATACAACAATTTTTAAAAAAGGCAACCAACCAAATGAGAGGAGATATTCACAAATGATATCTCTGATAAGGGGCTAATATCTGAAATACAGAGAATTCATATAACTCAAAAACAAAAAAAAACAAACAATCCAATTTTTAAATGGGCAGAGGACCTGAACAGACATTTTCTCCAAGATAATACAGATAGCCAACTTCACCAGTTATAAGAGAAACAAAGGTCAAAACCACAATGAGATATCACCTTGTACCTGTTAGAATGGCTATTTTCAATAAGACAAGAAATAACAAGTGTTAGAGAGGATGTAGAGAAAAAGGAACCCTCGTACACTGCTGGTGGGAATGTAAACTGGTACAGCCACTGTGGAAAACAGTATGGAAGTTCCTCAAAAAGTTAAGAATAGAGCTATATGACCCTCCATCCCTCTTCTGGGTATCTCCCCCCCAAATTTAAAAACACTTATTCGTAAAAATATATGTACCCCTATGTTTACTGCAGCATTATTCACAATACCCAAGACAGGGAAACAACCTAAGTGTCCTTTGATGGATGAATGGATGAAGATGTGGTACATATGTAAAATGGAATATTACTCAGCCATAAGAAAAGATGAAATACTGCCATTTGTGACAACATGAATGGATCTTGAGATAACCATGCTAAGTGAAATAAGTCGGACAGAAAAAATTGAGAACCATATGATTTCACTCATGTGTTGGATATAAAACAGAAACAAACCAACAAACAAAACAAACAAATTCATATACACAGACAACACTGTAGCAGTTACCAGAGGGAAACAGGGGTAGGAGAGGATAAAGAGGGTAAAGGAGGTTAAATATATGGTGACAGAAGTAGACATGAGGTGGTGAGCACACAATGGAATATAAAGATGAAGTATTATAAAGTTATGCATCTGAAACTTATGTATTAACCAGTTACCTCGGTAAATTGGATTTTTTGAAAAAGGAAACTTGTACTCATTAGGGTCACTCCCCATGTTCCCCCAGATCCCAACAACCAGTAATCTACTTTCTGTCTCTATGAATTTGCCTACTATGGACATTTCATCTAAGTGGAATGTTACGAGATGTGGCTTTCTGTGTCTGGCTTCTTTCACTTAGTATAATGTAGTATGTATCAGGGCTTCATTTTATTTTTTATGCTGAATAATATCCCATTATTTGGATATACCACATTTTGTTTATCCATTCATCAGTTGATGGACATTTGGGCTATTCCCACTTTTTGGCTATTATGAATAATGCTGCTATGAATATTCATGTGCAAGTTTTTGTGTGAACATGTTTTCACGTCTCTTGGGTGGATAACCAGGAATGGAATTGCTGGGTCACATGGTAACTTTATGCTTTACTTTTTGAGGAAGATACTGTTTTAAGTCACCGTGTGTCCCACAGCACTACATAGTACTTTATCCTGTAGCCCCAGGCATCGACGTGGACAAGAACCCAAACTCACAAGGATATGAGGCAAAGGAGATCTCGAGTACCGCTGGTCCTCTCCCAAGTATACACCCAGGAGATGTTTATGTTTTTGCTCACATGCTCCAGGACAAACAAGGAGTAATACTGTTGGCCAAAAATCCAAAATAACCTACCGCCCATTAACAACAGCTTGGATAAATACATTGTGGACTATATATCAAAGAAAATAAATTAGTTATATATAACAGCATGGATGAACCTCACAAATACGATATTAAAAGGAACAAGCTACAAGGGAGTATGCATAGTACAATTTTGTTTATATGAAGTTCCAAAACAAGTGAAACTAAATCATGTGATTTAGGGATGCATATGTAAGTGGAAAAACTATTAAAAATTATTTCAACAAAAAACAGGATACTGGTTACCTCTGGCAGGGAGAGAGAGACGTCAGGAAGGGGCACAGGAAGGTCCTCTGCAAGCCAGTTTCCTAGTTCTTGTCCTGGGTGATGGATACATGAAGATTTACTTTGAATTATTTTTAACTGTACATAGGTACTTAACCTACTCATGCACTATTCCAAAAGTTTTATTTCACAATTCAAAGAATAAACAGAACAAAACTCACATCTAGGTGTCAGGAGCCCTGGATGCCAGATCAGGTTTACCACTTAAGAGCTGTGTGACACAAATTACTTAATCTCTCTGCCTCAACATTTTTATCTCCAAAATGAGGATGATGATAATTGCCACTTATTCAGAGCTCACCGTTCTTGGGCACTAAGCTAAGTGCTCTTATATATCAGTACTCATTGTGTGTCCTTGGGGCACAAGAAACATCTTATCAAAGGTAGCTTAAGCAAAAAGTATTACAAGGATGCGGGGTGCAGCTGGGGAGCAGATTCTGGGAACTCTCTCTCCTTGTTGCTCTTCTCTCCATAACTGTTATATTCTTTCCTTTTGTTATAAACTGGTCATTTTTGCAACCCCATCCACATGTGAGAAAATGGCCACCCACAACTCTCAGGGTTATATCTTCTCCATTCAGAACACCAGCCAGACTGAACCTGGAATCTCTCAGCACAAACTACAAAGTTCCCTGGGGAAAGAATTCCTACTGTTTTAGTTAGGAGCCAGTATCCACCCCTGATCCAATCAACTGGCAAAGGGGCAGAGTCATACCATGCAAAATGCCTGCTAGGGACAAACACCATGAAACTAAATGGGGACTATGGATGGATGGCAGTCAGCCCGTGGAAATCTAGTTCTGTGGAGATGTACAGATGTAAAGAGCAACTGCTAGAATGGAGAGGGGAGCAGACACCCCAATATCAACTGTTAACTTAAACTATTCTTTGTACTAATGCGATGAGGTAATGTTGGTATCCCCATTTTACAGATGAAGGGACTGAGAATCAAGATAGGGCCCAGGGATTCTCAACAGCAGCACCACTGACATTTTGGGCTGAACAATTCTTCATGGTGGGGCGGGGTGGGGGTGGGGGGTTGTCCTGTGCATTGTAGAATGTTTAGCAACATCCCTGGCCTCTACCCACTAGGTGCTAATGGCACTTCTCCAGTTTTAACAATCAAAAATGTCTCCATATGTTGTCAAATGTCCTGACGCAGGCTAAGTAAATTATAAACCACTCCACTTGTAAGACAGCCAGTATTCAAACCCAGGTCTGACCCTACAGCCTGTTCTTAGTCACTGTCTCTCATGATCATATCTGTTACCAGCTTCACAAGGTCGTAATGATATAATGAATGTGATGAATGTGAAATCACCTTGAAGAGTTTGGTGCAACATAAATATGTCACCACATTCTTCTTAGGAGCTTCCAGTACTATAGATCAATGTGGCTACTCAAACAAGACAGGGCTCTATATCTCTAAGAAATTTTAATTCCATGGGTCTGACCACTAACCAACCATATTACTCATTTAGTTTCATGATGTGATTCTTCTCCACATCCTCTCCCTCACGAAGGTTGATATTCCCAAGGTCTTGCTGCAACACATGTCCAATTCAACTCCCCCACCGTTTCCTTATGGTAAAATTCCTTAGCTGGTTTTCCTCTAGTGGAGCCAAGTGTTTCTCCAGATAACTTGGTCCCCAAAGGCCGTCTATTACTCTTCCACACATAACTGACTAAACATGTTACATCTGTTTCTCCATGAACTAGTGGTCTCAATAACCTAGGCTACCTGAGGTTCATGGTCACATTCTTCCAAACTCAAAATGCCTCTCTGAGAATGTTGCTTGACAGAGCCCTACATGGACAATCTCCAACCTGTTAGTTTTTGTTCTGGTTTTTAATATTCATTGCGACTGAATTCTAAAAATGGAGTCCCTCGTTTGGAAGGCTTTGAGTCCCTCCCATTTAAACGAGAAGGGAGGGACTGAGATTAGAGGGTTGAGATTAGAGGGTTGGCCACACACTAGTGACAGTATTACAATGAGCTTCTAGAATTTTATAAAAGCAAGCATATCCTTACAGCTTAATCTAGCTGCCTAATAAAATGACCACAATATGCCATTTGTACTTTTCCAGTCAAGATATAAACAACTTGTTTAAAGGTCTGGTCAGAATGTAATATTTTTAAGTAAACTCTTTTTACTGAAGTATAACTTACATGCAGAAAAGTACACAAATAAGTATACAGCTCAATAAACTTATCCCAAGTAAACACACCCATATAACCACCACCCAGATCAAGAAATTACCCGCAATCCAGAAGCCCCTCTCAGGCCCCCTCCCAGTCACGATCTCCACCCTCACTCCAAATCTGACCATTATAATTTTAATCTTATTACCTCCATATTTTTTATGTATCTGATGGCACAGATAATTATCTCTGGAGGCCAAAGTTAACCAGAAGCTGGGAGAATTGTTTTCCCATGAGTCATTTCTCTTAAGAGTTTTATCAGTGAGGATCCTTCCAGCTGCAAGTAATAGAAACCCCAATCCAGATGGCTTAAACAATAAGAAAATTTATCATCTCCATATAAATGGAAGTCCTGTTGTAGAGCATGCTTTAAGGTTGATTCAATCAGCAGCCGTCTTGGTGTTTTCTTTATTCTCAGGCTGGTAGCAGGATGGCCACAATTCTGTGACTTTCTCTGGAGAGGAAACTTCTTCCAGACGTCTCATTCTACTGGTGAGAACTGGGTCACTTGTGCAACCGCTTAGACCAGGGGGACAGGATTGCCCCAATTGTCTTAGACTTGTCATTTAGGGATAGGATGGATGTTGAGGAGTCCCCTCCAATGCTCCCTACGGAAAACCACGTAATAAAAATGTAAAACGTCTGGCTCAACTCATTTATAAACATGTTCGATATTGCTAAATGGTAACAAGGGTTATAAACAGTGGAGATTTGTGGCTGAACATATCGTTGGGAGATTCAAGGTTAGAGGTAAGTAACTCCCTGTGAGGAAAGAATAAATTGACCGTGGCAAAATAAACATAGCAGCTCTTGCCTCTCTCTCTGCTCAACGTCAATGATCCTTCCTCTCCAAATTGCCTATTTGGGCACTGAGTCATAAACATATTTTTTTAAGTTATTGGGATAGTGTCTGCTACCAGTTATGTTAAGCACAGGACATAACGTTTCAGTATACACTTAGGACAAATTTTACCTCTTTACAAATCACATGATGGCAGGCCAGGCACACAGGGCATGCCATTTAAATGCTACCAGGTACGTGTGTCACAGTTCCTGAAAGGACTCCAGTTCCTTCAGTTACTTTGATAATCCCCAGAAGCCATTCAGTCCCCACGGATGTTCGAATATTCTCCATATTAAAATCCCAATTTTTAAAGAAATATTATAAATGAGAGCCATAGACATACATATAAGTATTAATATTCATTTGCTCAAGGTAGTTGGGAATGTAACATGTAACATGTTCACATCCCTTTTATCAATGTGCTAGTCACATATTATTAGAACATTGGTGAATACGTATTGGAGGAATCCATCAACAAAGAATATATGGGTAGGTGAGGTACACTCATCAGTGAAAAGCTATTATAATAGTGATTTTTTGTGTTAAATGGTAAAATGTATAGGTCTGTGGATGATAGGACAAACAGTAGATAAGTTTTAAAGATAAGGTATTACACTTATATGTATATAAATTTTACATACATATGTATGTGTACCACTAAATTTCTATTTGTTAAAAAAAAAAAGGTCTTTAAATAATTATCTATACTGGATAAATATATAACTGATACTATTCTCAGTACCAGTGAGAAAGGATGAATACAAAGACAATTCCAACTGAAGAGTAAAAATCCAGCATATCCTTCAGAAAAATATTTATCACAAAACTAACATTCTTGAGGAAATTTTTTCTCCTGTTTCTAACTTTGATTGCTACTACATTTATAAGGCAACTATTAGCACAAATATTACATCTAATATGTATGATTCTAATGAGAAAGTGTATCAATAACATACTTGATTTCAACCTATATTTCAGAAATATTTTTTTTACTCAAGTAAAAATATAATATCCTGTGATCATCAATCATTTTAGTTGCATTTTGGATATCCAACAGTCACCCAATATCCCCTGGATATTAGAATGTTTGTCGTTAGAATTCCAGTTCTTCCTCAAGATTAACATGTGAGGCATATATATTTTACTATGCATTCTTATGTCAACTGGGAATATACCTTTTATATATAATCCAATACTACCCCAGTTTGCTTTCTGGTATAGGTTAGGCTTTTTTGAAAGAAGCTGGATATTTCACAATGGCAAGGCCCAATCCAGTCAATTCTAATGAGGACCTTAAATGTTATCAAGACGTTTCTGTTAATTTGCTTTATAAAGGTCAGATGAAGGTTGTAGAGATTTTAAGAGGAATGCTCTTTTCTACCATACCAGCAGAGGGCACATTTTCCACTTAACTGTAACTCCTCCAACCTATAAAATCCCATAGGTGGTATTGGGTCAAATCACAGAGGGTACTGAAAACCAGGCAGTGTTTGAATAAAGAATGTGCTTAAGAAAGAATAGCTTGGAAGGAATAGACATAATAGCAAATACAGGAAATGACTGGGTGTGTCCACTTTTTAAAATCCTCATTTAGAAAAGGCCCAAACCCCTGAACAGGCTTAAGGGTGACAATTCTCAATTCTCATGAAAAAGAGATGTCTTAAGTATCCTAAATCCTAAGACATTTTCCTTCAGGAGGCATTGGGCCATCAGTTCTTGTTTACAGTTCTGCTGTTGAGAAGTTTTGATATCTGGTTCCTGATTCTTTTGAGTGAACTATTTTTCCTCTTTGGAAGCTTTCAGGACAGTGGTTTCTAAACTTCACCATGACTCAGATTCCCCCAAAACAGAGATTCTGTTTCATTTGACCTGTGGCAGGGCCAGATATTGGTATTTTTAAATGTTCCAAAGGTGATTTCAAGGTGATTCAAAGTGCGGCCATAGTTGATGGTTTTAGATTTTCTTTTTATCCCTTTTGTTCTGAAATTCCACAATGACATACTTTAGTGTGAGTCATTTTTCATGATTGTGCCGAGCACTCAGTGGTTCTTTCAACCTCCAAAATCAATCGTTAGTTCTGGGATGTTTTCTTGTATTATTTCTGTGATAATTTTTCACTTCTAGGTCTCCTATTGAGATAGGGTCTCTACTAGTACGAATCTGTCATTTTCCATCTTTTCCTTTTTTTCTCCACCTTGTGGGAGACTTCCTCGTTTTAATTTTTCAACCCTTCTTTTGCTTTATTCCTGCTCTCATTTTAAAAACCTTTGGAAATAATTTTAGGCTTACAAAGACTTGCAAAGATAGTACAATGTTCCCATATATTCCTCACCCAGCTTTCCCTAATGTCAACATCTTACATAACCTAAGAACAATTATCAAAACTAAGAAATTAACATTACAACAATGCTATTAACTACAGACTTTATTTGAATGTCACCGGCATTTCCACTAATGGTCATTTTTGTTCTAGGAACCAATCCAGGCCCCACATTGCATTTGGTTGTCATGTCTCCTTAGTCTCCTTCAGTTTGTTAATTCTTCAGTCTTTCCTTGTCTTTCACGACCTTGATGCTTTTGAATACTGGTTTTGTGGAATATCCATCAATTTGGGTCTGATATTTTCTCATGATTAGATTGGAGCTATGAATTTTGGGTAATACAATAAAGTGATGTGCCCTTCTCAATGCATCAAGGGTACATGATATTAATACGTTATTGTATTACCAGTAATGTTAAACTTGACGACTTGCCTAAGGAAATGTCTGCCAGCTTTTGCTGTAAAATTACTGCTTTTTTTTCTTTGTAAGTAGTAAATGCTTTAAGGAAATATTTTGAGGCTATCTTGTTTCTTCTTAAGCTTTTGTCCACTAATTTTAGCATTTGTTGGTATTTCTACAATTCTTATTCTCTGTTCCTTTTTAAATAGTATTCTATATTTTTCATGGATACAATCATCTCTCAGAAGTTATCAGGATTTTTTTTCTTATCTACATTATCTCTTCCTCTTTTTTCCTATTTGTTTTGGTCTCTTTCATGTGAAGGCTTTCCAAAAATGGTTGCACAGTCCTAGTCTACTAAAAGCTTTTTTGAATGCTTTGCATCAGCAGAGTTTGTTGAAAGATTTCATTGCAGGTAACCATGTGGAAGCTGTACCTGTATATCTTGTCTCCTGGACTGGTGAGTTTCTTCAGAGGGGGTTTTTCCTATATTGCTTGGGGTTATAAACTTGGCTTTTGGTATTCTAGGAGCCAAGGGGGTTGATGGAGTGGTGTCAGTAATGAGCACGAACTTCCGCTTAATCCTCACTCTCAGATCCGTACTTACCACGGCCTTCAGCTTTGCCTTGTTATCTCACATCAAGGTCCTCTCAGGTTCAGCTTTCCCCAGGATTAAACTTCCAGTTTCTGTCGGAGAAGAGAGGCAGTTGCTTGGCTGTGCAGGCTGGGGTTAACGATGGAGATGGGGTGAGGTCAGGGAGGTGAGTTTGTTACTATTTCCAAGTCTGCTATACAGCCTCTACTCTCAGAGGTGCTTCCCATTTGTGAGTTTTTCAGGGATCTGTGACGGGTCTTCATTCTCGTTGGCTTTTCCTCCTATAAGCATTTAAATTTGTTTTCTATACTCTTCTAACTTTATTGGCCTTCCATCTTCCAAAACTTTCGTGAGATCTTTTACCGACTGAAGTGTACTCTCTCATTCACTTTGTCTTTTTGGATATATATCTTTGTTTATTCCTTACTCTCATCATTTGTATGGCTTTTAAAAGGAAGCAGAGATAAACAAGTTCTTTCAGACTACGTTCAGTCAGAAACCCCTGTGAACACACAATGCAATATACAGATGATATATTCTAGCAGGGGTCCCCAACCCCCGCTACTGGTCTGCAGCCTGTTAGGAACCTGGCCGCACAGCAGGTAAATGGCGGGTGAGGAGTGAGTGAAGTTTCATCTGTGTTTGCGGCCACTCTCTGGCACTAGCATCACCACCTCAGCTCCACTTCAGATCATCGGGCATTAGATTGTCACAGGGGCACTGGTCCCTGGTGCCAAAAACATTGGAGACCGCTGTATTATAGAATTGTACACCTGAAACCTATATCATTTTATTAACTAATGTTACCCCAATAAATTAAAAAGTAGAGACCTCTGTTATTTTTAGGGTGGTCAAAAGACAATCAAAATGTTAATTAACTATAAAATTCTAGGAACCAATATCCCATGAAGAATTCCAAAGAACTTAAGTAGATACTCTACCTTCAAGGATGTGGAGCTTAAGTCCTTACTCCTTAAGTGTGGGCTGCCCATAGTGACTTCCTTCCGATATGGAGGAGTATAGAAAGTTCTTTCGGGAGAATAACTTTATAGTAATCTAATAAATACTACCTCAGTCTTGTGATCGAGGTCAACATCAACAGTCATAAATCTTATTGATAGTATATACCCTTGATATAATGTGATAAAAATAGCAATTTACCTCTGTAGTGTCCTCCCACCCAAACCTATAATCTCACTCTAAGAAAAATATAAAATTCCGATAGAGGGCATCCTACAATGTACCTAAATAATACTCCTCAAAGCTATCAAGGTCATCAAAAACGAAAGTCTAAGAAACTGTCACAGTCAAGAGGAGCCTAAGAAAACATGATGACTAAATGTAATGTAGGATCCTGGAACAGAAAATACAGGTAAAAACTGAGGAAACATAAAGTATGGATTTTAATTTTTTGGACTTTAGAGGAAACTGGGTGCTGTACGTATGGGAACTCTGTACTATCTTTACAATTTTCTTATTGTAGATTTAAACTGTTTTAAAACTGTTCTAAAGAATAAAGTTTATTTAAAGCATTTCTATGAAACCAATAAACACTGGCAACTGAATCTATTTACGGAGAAAACAGGAGTGAATGGAGTTTTTGATTGTTAGTGATGTGGGCAACATTGGAATTCATCTCAAAATTCTACTTGGGAGTCCTACATAGTTCTTCAAAAAATTTGGCTAAGGTTGTTTGTCCAGACATAGCATGGCAAACCATCCTGAACCAACTTAGCCCTTCCTATGGCCCAGCATAATGCAAGATTCCCAGAAGGATGCAGAAGACTCAGCCTTCAGATAGTGTATAACCCATTAATGAAGACACTAAAATCAAATATATACACACACAAAATATATGATTATAGTATCTGCCTTGGGTTTAAACATTAAATAGTTTTCTGTATCTTACTCTATAACAATAAATAATCTGAGTATGTGCATATCTTCTTTAAAGTGAGGAATATTTCTTCTTTCCAAAGATATCTAGACTTGGCATAGAATAAAAAATGAGTATCTGCTTAGGTATACTTAGGCAGAACCCTTACAAAGAAATTACCAAGGCAGGCATTTTAAGGTCAGATAAATTGCAGAGGCCACAGTTGTCAGGATGTGTGCGTTTCAGACACCCAATTTGAACTAGCTTAACACAGAAAGCAAATTTATTGACTTATACATGAAAGGTCCAGAGGTAGAATTTCACCTTAAATGAGGGTCAATAGAGATGTCCAAACAGAACTGTACTAGTTTACATAAATGGTCCAAATTATAAACAAATCAGCTTTATTTCTTCCAAATATTTTCTAGGATGGACTAGTGGGTCTGTTTTTGTGCCACAACACTTAAAAATGAAGAGAAGCTGAGCTGAGGTACTGCCTTGTCATTTATTGAGTAAAACATAAGGCAAAGTATTTCATTGGGGGCAAGGCAGGGCTTAGGATGTGAGCTAAAGAAAAATCCAAAAGAAAAAAAAAATTAAAAAGATTCAGAACAGGAAAAGGGGTCAGAGTCTTGGAAAGACTCAATTTCCTTTGCTGTTCATGGTTTGGCTTCTCTCAACTTCTATCTCTATCTGTTCCTGATTAGATTTTGTGGGCAATTAAATCAAAGTAGACAGATTTGTGAGGTTTGTTTTTATTGTGGATATCATCCCATTGTTCTGTAAAGTAATGCCACCCATTTCTAAAACTTAGATGAGGAAAGTACAAAAAAGATCCCCAAAGTAAGCTTCTATAAAGAAAAATAAAATTCAAACACATGGGCTTTTTCATTTTTCATTTTCCAGGTCCATGTGCTTCTAAAGTTAACATTACTGTTTCAGTCACAAAGATTAGGATCAGAAGGAAACAATAGGAAACTGCTTTGAGACTGGCACTGATGAATCAAAAATGCCATTTGTCACACTTGTAACAAACAGCATTTGTATTTGCATTATGCTGTGCTTTCTCCAATGAACTTGAATCATCTTTTCATGATACTATATAACAATTCTGAAAGCTGAAAACAAGTTTCCAAATCTTGTGCTACATGCTCGAAGTAGATTTCCATTTCTCAGATTTCCAGGATTCATAGAGATTGGTTCAGAAGAGGCTAAGGGCAAGCCAACCAATGAACAATTCATTCTCATTAAAAATGATACATTTACATGTATAGGTCCAGGTTAAATCTTATCCAGGATCCCAGATTGGGTGAATTATGCAAGGCCTTCAGTGCCGCTTAAAGATTTCGATAGTCCTCAACTCTCTATCCTGTATGAGTTACCTTTTACCAAAAGTTGTTTCTAATAACAGTTCAAATTTAAATTCTCATTAACTGGCTTCAAGAAACTGTTTTGCAAGGGATGCTAGGGTCATTTAAACAAGTTATTTCTACTGAAGCAATGTGATTATCTTCAACAATAAGACTTCTAAGACTGGCTATTTTTCACTTATCTACTAATTAGGAAAATGATTACATTATTGATTGGTTCCATTTTGTTAATCATATACAGAAACATCTCTATATGGGAATCATTAGCAGAATCCATTGGGCGTATTATTTATTTTGGCACAGCTAGAGCTTCGTTTTTACATAAAACCAACAGTGGAAATTGAATTTTAGGGCTAGATTTGGGTTTAAATACTAGCTCTCCTGTTAGCTGTGTGGTCTCAGGCAAGTCAAGTGGCTCTATGAACCATTTGTAAAATTTGGATACCCCTCATCTACCATGTAAGAATCCTACAAGGGAAGGATCAGAAATGTTTGTGGACTATCAAAGACACTGCATGGCACATAAATGATGGTATTACACCTGCATCCTCATGTTTCATCTCAAAGCAAATCTAGTCTCTCCTGAATCGTTCATGAAAGAATTAAGCTTTTTAAATGTTAATATATATGTGATTAAGCTGGGTGGGCCTGGACATACATGGTATAGATATGTGGCTACTTAAAGTTAGGTTACCAATGTTACCTACAATTACCAACAATTTGGTAGACTGTGGTATTTCTTACCTTAAATTTGCATAATTGGAGTTGCACTCTTCTACCTCAGCTTTTCAGGAAATCAACCAGGATTTGTCAAGCACCTGCCAGATACTCAGCCTCAGGAAGAACAGTGATATGAATTATTAGGATTGAAGACTAAACAAATTCAAATGCTACTAATAAGAATGGGATTATCCTTTCCTGTTAGTAACCCTCAATTCATGTGATAACCTAACAGCCAAGCCCTGATGAACGATGTCTCATTAGTAATGTTAGAAGGCTATCAGTAGGTATTAAAATTAATGAGAAAAATAATTTATTTCCCTTGTTTTATTAACGGTCACTAGAACTCCAATCTTAGTGTTTAATTTTCCCCAACAGGTTAGCAATTTCCAAGAAAAACAATCATTTGAAGACTGGCATTGCAGATAACAAAATATTATTACCTTGTACTGGCTTCTCTTTACCAGATGGTTTCAGTAAAAACAGAACTCCCAGCGTGCCTACCTGGTTGCCACTTCGCATCCATCAATACAGCAAAAGTCTTGATTTTTGTCTCTCATGATTCCAAATGAGCAACTCACTTCAAGGGAAGAGCTGCAGGAGGAATCTTGAAGAACTCCAGAACTTCCCACATTATGCTACACACAGTTATTAACGCAGATACAGGTGACTTTCATGCTTCTAAAAATCTTTTCTTCCAGAACACCTGAGGATTACAGAGCCAACAACTTCTACTTTAAGATTAAAAAAATACTTAAAAATTAAAAAAAAAAATAACTGTAGTCAGGGTGAGGAAAGGAAAACAGTATCTTTATTGTGTGTAGTTCTAACAAACATTCACTATGCGCACATTCCAGCAGAAAGAGACAAAGATCTTTGTTCAAAATATGCTGAAATAAAGTAGGTAAACAAACTCCATTATTGAATACATGAAAGGAATGTTAACATTACTCATTCACAGTCAAGGGTGAAGTAAAAAGAAAGGAAGTTAAATAACCGTAGTAGTATTTCGCCAAAATAACAAATGTAGCATATAAATGTGGGCCAAGAGCAGCTCATAAAACTCACAAGAGTAAGATGCTAGATGGAGGGCAGGTAACTTAACGCCCTCTGCTTCTTGGAACCTCCTTCTGAGATCGCCCCACAAATTCTAAACCAGGCTCTTTCACAGCACAACAGCCGGATGTAACCAAACTTCTCGTTACTTTCGTGATTATTTGGCCACTGAACGAGATGGTTAAAAAAGAATCAATTTCTTGTTGAGACAAGACATGTCTAAATCCATTTCTCCTAGGGAAGGAAGTAATGAACATTAACATTCTGCATTTTAATCTCCTAAAATCGGATTTAACCAGATAGCTAACACTTGAGATGTTCAGCACTAGATACCATGAGTAATGATGTAGCTGGCCTGAAAGCATTTTTCATTGCTCCACGTCAGAACTACATGAGTATAAACTCGACCAAGCTCTTATTTCACAACATATGCATTTATGACAACTGCTCAGAGAACTTTACACGCCCAAATTATAGGTCCCGATGGATTTTTGTTTCTGCTTAAGTGGTCACATAAGAACACAATATAAACTCTATTCCCATTACTTTCTTGTCTTTACAAACGTAGAAGCCATTTGGAAACCAAACAGGAGCTAAGAAAATTTGGAGACTCGGCACTGACATCCTTATTTTGGTGGCACAAATTTTCACTCATCTCCTCCTTTTGTGGTCCCCAGTCATTACGTGTACAGTATGGTGTGCAGCAGCAAGTAATCTTCCTTGGAAATAAACAAACAGCCCAGAGACCAGTGTTAGGGGGCACGGTCAGCCAACAGAGCCTGGCTCCACTTGCTCCAGAGGGGTTTTCATGACCTACCAATGTTGAGACTGTCAGTAATTTGAGTCTACCTCTTAAAACAGAAGTCTTTTTTGATGGATTTGGCTAAAATACTGTGTTAATTTATTGTTCTAGAGAAACCTCTGCAAACTCTCACATAAGCTCTTTTACCTGGCTGTTTATGTAGGCAGCAGAATAATAGTAAATGGACCCAAAAGTGGTTTTTATAATATAAAGTGACATCACATTAGCGGTAGATCAAAAGCAGCCCTGGGATTGGATGGATTTCATGGATGGTAGAGACAAAGTCTAAAAATCTTTTCCTCTGGCTCTGAGTAAAAACAAGTCCAGATATAAACAGGAAAAATCAGCCAATGTGAAATAGAAAAACACACCTTTGCATTGGTGTTTATGCTAAAAATACCAAAAACACCAATTTTATTTAAGACGATTGTTCTCTAATGTTTCTTATAAGCCAGATGTTTTTCATTCAATTTTGGAGACTGCCAATACACTTTTGATTGATCCAAGTTATCTTCTGGCTTAGTTTTAGGCTTGACTGTTCCCCTTCTATCTCAATGCTCCTTTGTTCTTTACTTCTACCCCAATGTAGCTGTAATCATGCAACCTATATTATGTCAATTATGCCAATTCTTATTCAAGGCAACCCTTCCTTGTCTTCAGCATTAATAGTCACACCACTTTTGCTACACAATAACCAAAGTATTTTTTTTCCAGTAAATTATCTTAAAGTGGCATCATATAACACATACAAAACATTTTCTAATGATAAAAAGTTTGACTATACCCCTACCCCTCATATATAAAAGTCATCCAGAAATCAAAAAAAAAAAATTACTCCATAAGGTCATATCCAAGCATGCAAATACAAGGGTAATATTATTTTGATGAATTCCGAATTCACTCAACTGCTAAATCACAGGATACAAGACCTGAGTTGAACTTTTTCTTAAATAGTTTGCCTGGGCAACTGGTTTGCTGGGCAGTTTCCTGTCTTGTCAAGTCCCTGGCAAGCAGGAATCGGGGAGGAGACACAGAAGAGTGAACATGGTATTTCTTGAACCACACGGCTCCCTGCTGCATATGACAATGGCTCAGAAGAGACTGGTAATCCTCAAAGGAAAGGGAGAAAAATCACCACAGTTGTTAGTAGAAAACAGCCAGTGTACTGTCTCCTCAGGTACTTCCACAGGGAAAATAAAAGTAAAGGCAAATATGCCAAAGAAATTCCTGAACCAAAGAGAAACAGTAACATAATTCTAAGTAATAACCTACTCCTCAATGAAACACTCATTGAGGGAAAAAAAAATACCAGCTCTTTTTTTTTTCTTCAGTGGAAAAACGACAAAACCACAAATTGGAGCCATGGAGGTAAAAAACAGATAAAATGGAAAACATTCTTTTGTCATCATCCGCACCTTTCAAATGCCACTTGACTATGCAAGTTATTTTACAGGGCAAACAGAAGATCAAATACTGTATGTCTAATTCTAATCAATTTGGAGTCCCTTACTACTTTTGTTAAAACAAGGAATAAAAACTGTGCTAATCAATAAACAAAAAAGCAGTAAAAATCCCTGGTAAATCTCTACAGACATAAGCACAAATTTACATTTTACTAATATAAGATGGTTAGGAGGAAAAAAAAGAAAAAAGATGGCTAGAAATGGGCGCCAAACCAAAAAGTAAATGATGAAGTCTTTGGTGCTTTTTCTAAACTCCTGCCCTATAGTAGTATTTCTCAATATTTTTCAAAAGAAAGATTGCTATGAATTCACCCTATCATCCCAATTCATCTCTCCCTTTCCCTGTTCTCCATTCCAAGAAATAAAAGGGAAGCATCTCTATCCAGCACCACCTGGTGGACTTAGCAGGTGGCTAGAGTTACCTGTTACACTAGCTTAGGAGGATGGAGATAATCACATAGTTCTTTCTAGTTTTACCAAATATAAACAAGGAACAAGACCATTTGGCAGCTGTGGTTTACATCATAGGTATGCAACTTTACTTCATGAATTAAACCCCTTATGACAAATAACAGAATTAAGTCAGAATTAAAAAATACTAATATTTACTTTGAAAAAAGGAAAGCTTCAAAACCAGAATGTGCTGCCATGTTAAGAATGTCTAATGTGCAAAATACTGCAAAGCAGGCATTTTTACCAAAGGGCAATATCACTAGGACATATGGATTGCAATTATTAACAGAAAACTTTGTAATATAAAGGTGCTCATGGAAACATTGGCAAGGATTCAGAACAATGAGCAGGTGCTTTTAGAGTAAGGCTCTGAGAAAGAAGGGCACTGTCCCCAGGTCTGAGGTGGATGTCTGTCCAACCATCTGGGCTCCAAGGGGGAAGAATACAAGTGGCAGGATTTGAGAACAGGGCACCGCTGGAGCCTCCAAACATGTCTCTAGTTTTCACTCCCAAGTAGATATGCTTTCCAGACTTCAACGAGGCCTCCTCAGGAGGATTTGCTTTCCGACGTGTAGTAGTAACGGTACAAGAAACCTAAGAGGATAGCACCTATGATGGGGAAAATCCAATACGACCAGCAACTAGAAGTTGGGGGGGAAAAAAACAATAAAATAGTGAGCATTTTATACCAAATGTTTCCTATCTTTCAGCATCCTCATTTTAATATTTTTATGAGCAAAGAGTTTAGATTTACTGCTTTTATCACACAGTAATTAGAGATGAACAAATATTTAAATTGGAGTAACAACATTAAGTGATAATTTTTAAAAGATTAAAGATTAAAAACAGAATGTATCGTAAGACACCAAAAAATATATGTATATACACACCAACATGTGTTTTTACAAAGGCATATAGTAGTTCTTTCTGGGTTATGGAATTATAGATAGTTTAAATTTTTCTTCTTTGTGCTCTGTTTTTCACATATTCTGCAATTAACATTCTTAAACCAAAAAAAAAAAAAAAAGCCACCATTTCACATATATAATTGTAAAATTAGAAGCAATAACATCTAACACAACTACTGGCAATATATTTGCCTCACATGTATTTTTTAAATTTAATCCTCACAACAACCCTATGAAATAAATCCTACTATTATATATATTTTATACAAAGCTTTACATCCAAAAATCACAAAGTGAAGTTAGTGAAGCAGTCTGATTCCAAATCCATCCTCTTAATTTCTAGTTAAATAAGAATGAACACACAGACAGGTGCACATGTGCACGCACACATACACACAGAGAATATGTTGACAGTTCTAATAAAGTTAGGTAAACGGCAGTTGGCTTAAAAAGTCCTGTATGAGACTTTCCTTAGGGGTTTCAGAATGTCATCATTCTCCTTGAAATAATTCTTCTCCAATAGAGCTTATTAGCACTGCTAGTTTTAAAGTGTAATTCTTCCGTGATCCAAACGACTAGGCTGCCCCTCTACTTAAGACATGTGCAGCCTTGGTATTAAAAGGTTTTGAAGCCAATAAAGCCAGTTGAGGTTTAATAATAAAAATGATTCTTTTTGCCTAAACATGCCTAGCACTTTGTACATTTAAGTATGGCAAAAGCTGTTCTGGACAAGTTTAGAGTATCAGCCAGGTATCTTTGTTTAAAAAAAAAAAAGAAAAAGAAAAAGCGAGTTGGCATGTACAACAGTAATGTGACACATGGGAACCTGGAAGTCATCTCCCCATAGAGTCATGAATTCAGAAATCTTGGAGCAACCACAAGAGACAAGAGAGTTCAAAAGCAGGATCCTTGAGAAAGCAATGAAGAGAAATTCTTTAGTACAAAAGACTGAGAATGGTTGACCACCAATCCTCACATAATCCTTCATGATACTTAACTGCCACTGAGAACAGGACCAGAGAAAATGCATTTATACTGCACCAAAGGAGATTAAGGTTCAACAACAACATCCTGGCCATACGACGAAAGAACTCTCTTCTTGGAGGCTCACCCAGGTTATTGCATGTAGTTGTAACTCATTAATTTTTATTGCTTTGTAGTAGTCTACTGTATGAATATACCAGAATGAATTCATTCATTTTATTAATGAATGGTAATCTGGGTTATTTCTCATGTTTTAAGAGCTTGAATAATGCTGCTATCAACATTTTTGTATGTGCTTCCTGGTATACTTGTACGCACATTTCTCATGTACATCCCTAGAAATGGAATTGCTGGGTCAAGCATTCATATTGTCAAGCTTACTAGACAATGTCAAACTGTTTTTCAAAGTGATCGTACCCATTTATATTACCCTAAGAGGGCCTAAGAATCTTGGTGATCTACTTCCTAAACAACTCTTCTGATTTCTAGAATTTTTAAATTTTGCCAATCTGCTAAGTGTGAAATACACCCTATGATTTTAATTCACATCTTTCTGATGACAAATGAAATTACACCTCTTTTTCATAGGCTTATATTTGTTTCCTTAAGGTGCTTAAGTCTTTTTCTCATATTCTACTGCTTTTAAATTGATTTGTAAGAATTCTTTACATATTCTGCATTATAATTCTTAATAAGTTTTATCTGTAGCATAAGTCTATTGCAAGCTTGTGGTTTGTGTTTTCAAATTATTTATGAAGCATTTAGCTGAGCGTAAAATAAATCCCTAATATTAAGGAAGCTGAATTTACTAACCATTTCCTTCAAGTTTGCATTTTTCTAATATTCTGTCCATCACCTCAAATTAAAAAAGACACGATACTTTTATGGTGAAAAAAGACACATTTTCTCTCTCTGAATTGCACTAAGTGAGACATCAGAAAGATAAAATAGAGAGTTCCATATAATCTCTAGAAAGATTTTCACAAGCCAAGGACTCCATAGTCATCTCAAGTAGAGGCACTTAAAGGATGATAAATTCAAACCTTTCAGAGTTAATATTACTATATCACTGATATTACTGCAAAAGCCTTTTTATAAGTAAACCTTTGAGAAAACCCAAATTCTTGAATATGACTGCAATATATAATTTTTTCTTCTGCAAAACAGTAATAGCACCTACCTTACAGAGTGGTTGTGAGGATTAAATGACATTTAAGTTTTAAGTGGAAGTTGCTTAGTTGAGCTGAGCTGAGCTGCAGAGACTAGGCTTGACTTAGTAACTGTTACTTGTCCATGCATACTAACCTTTTACTGAACGTGACTTTAATTTATGTCACAAGATTTAAAAATTACTCAAGGCATGAACTTTTGAGATTACTCAAAATGATTAAAACTGTAAAAATTAATTTTGCTAATACTAAGGAATTACTGAATTCACAATAATTTTGGCCAAAAAAGAACTAGCTGTCAAACTGTACCCTTAAGTTATGCATACATGTATATTTATGGAAGAACCTCTTTTATTTATTTGTTTGTTTTTCATTATGGTGTCATTGGTTAACGAAATCCAGTAAGTTTCAAGTATACGATTTAGCAGTAAGGCCCATATATATATATTACATTGTGTGTTCACCATCCATAGTTAGATTTCTTTTTATCACCACATATTTGACCCCTTTTACCCCATCTACCCCCTCACCCCATGGAAGAACCTCTTGCCAGACATTACGTTGAGTGTAAGAAAGTGTGTTAAGGGGATACTAACCTTTTGCATGTGTTATTTTTCGAAGGCTCCTAAAGAAGATGCATATCAAAAAATGACAAACAAAAAGAATGAAGATTAACACAGTACATAAATCTTAGATATCTACATAAAATCTGTAGCTAATAAGAGAACTTCATCTTTCATGCAATTTGATGTTTACAAATCTACACGTGATGGGAGTACCAGGAATTCTATTTCTGATAATATACTGATATTCCCTAGTGAAGAACCATTAATGAAAGCAGAGAGAAAGCACCTAAACATTTTTTAGATGTAAAAAATAATGCTATTGAAACAAACTATATTGAAATGAACTAATTTGCAGTCACAATGATACACCTGGTTCAGTTGGGCTTGCCACTGGCAGTAGCTAAGATTACATTTTCTGAAAACATTCTGAATAGAAATTCTTGTCTTATAATTTTTAGATTAACTATGAAATGCTCTGGAGCATGCAGATGATTGTTTTGTGGCCTATAGAAATGAAGTGGATTACTCTCTGAAATCATAATAATTATAATTAGTAACCTGAGGGCTTATTTCACAATGAAAAGGGGAAGAATGGAGTGAAGAAAAAGAAAATACCAAAATAATCTTAAAAACGAAATTTTGGCAATAAAAAGTAATGAAGTACTGATATATGCTATAACATGGAAAATTCTTGAAAACGTTAGGCTAGTGAACGATACAACAGACCACATATTATAAGTCCATTTGTATGAAATGTTCAGAATAAATAAATGTTCAGAATAAATAAATTTAGAGGCAGAAAGCAGAGCACTAGTTCCCTAGGACTCAGGGGAAGAAGAGTTGAAGGAAAATTGAAAATGACTGCTAATGGTTTTGGGTTTCTTTTTGGAATGACGAAAATATTTCAAAATTGACTGATTATGGTTGTGCAGCTCTGTGAATATACTAAAAACTCTTGGCTTATACATCTTAAATAGGTAAACTGGATGAGATCTGAATTATATCTTAATAAAGCTGTTACTAATTTTTTTAATTCAAATTAAGTAAATATCAAATAAAGTTATTGATTCTATTAATTAACTGTACAGTACAAAAGGCCTGCTAACTTATTGCCAGAGGACAATAACCCATTAACATAGATTACTGCTGCCTAAAATATCATCTTGGCCAATATGTAAAAGTACTCCAGGGTGTGAGCACAGATATTAACTCTGTTTAACCATCATTTTCAATAATCTCCAAGAATTTCCAAAAACCCTACATACTGGCCTACTTGAAGAACAGACCATGAAATGAGTTTTAATTTCATATATCCAAAATACTGTCATGCAAATGAATACATGCCCCAAATCTGAAAGAAATTAGCCTATAGGAAAGTAAAACTTCTAATAAAAAGTTTTAGATAAACCATATTAATATACTACTATATTTCCTTGAGACCTTGATGATTACTGTTATCTGAGACATATCTATCATAATAGTATTAATTCCACGTTTAGGAATACATCCTAATTAAAACATGTCAGAGGTCAATCTTTGAGAAATACAAGTGTTTCACAGATTTGGAAAGTGATGATGGTGTGTGCAACAAATTAATTTATAATGTTGCCTATAGTAGGCAAGAAATAATTGAATTACATCAAGAAAAGTCCATGGTCTTATATGCTTTATCCACATATACACAAATGATTTAAAGAACAAAAAACATAGTATTTTTTTAAAAAATGGGGTAATTTGAAAGGTTTACATGAAAGCACTATGGAGTTTACATATGTGTATTATGCAGCTTAATCTGTAATCACATTAAAAGCCAGATATATAGTTCATATAAATGGAGTCTCTAGATTTCAAAGCTTTCAACTGCTTTTACAACCAAAAGCCCTAGATGTGTGCTAACTAGCGAGCCTTAGACAATGTAGTGAACAAATTGAGAGAAGAAAGACAGAAAGATTACTGTTATCTGAGACATATCTACCATAATAGTATTAATTCCACGTTTAGGAATACATCTTAATTAAAACAGAGAATCAACACCATAAAATACTGAAATTTTAATAGTTTCTAATAAGCAATAAAAAATTAAAATATACATTTTTTTTAACCAAGTATTTCAACTTCTGTTTTAAGATCAATCTGTCTCCAGAGGCAAAAAGACCAACTTCCCTAAAACAGTGCAGTAAAGAGACAAGAAAGAAGCACATCCTCTCTTTGGGATACTGACAGCCAAGTAAATGCCAAACTACAGTGACTCCACTTTTAATCAACTATAATGAAAGAGTTATTTAAGACACTGCTCTTAGTAGCCAAGTACCTCAGCCAAGTACGGGAAAAAAAGCCAAATAAGTTATTTTTAAATTTACAAAATTAAAAAGAAAAAAGTTCTGTTAACACAAAACCTTCCTTCACCTCTACCCTTCTGTTCTCTCTATACACAGTTCCCCAATGCTTATTTTCACTCCAAAGCTCTGGGCTGAATCTAACAGATGTTTAAGTGAAATTCCTACAGTTTATGACTGACTTTCACTTATCCCTTTGGGTGTTCAGGCATATCTGGCTGGTTATGTTCTCGCCTACATTTTAATTTACATGCAAGATTCTTGGTCAAGAGAACAGTGACTACACTCAATCTTTGACATGGAAAATAGTAACTGCAATACTATCTGATTTTAGTTACAAGACAGCAGCTCAAATCCAGATTTTAGCAAAAGCCTTACCAAGTAATTAATATGCATGTTTCTTTATCCTCCAAGGAGTTTGCAATACATTTCCAAACAACCAAACTGTTTTAAGTCTACTCTGCTTTTAGTTCAAAATTAACAGAAATTAACTGTTTAAATAAATTGGTTCCTAAAGTTCAAGGCTCATTAAAAGCTTTAATTCCCTCATAAAATAAATAATATATTAATATACATATAAATACTAAATCTGAACTTTGTAGAATATAAGAAAATAATATTTCATAACATCCAAGTAAACTTTTCATAAAACGGCTCATAACTGAAATTATGTCTAAGACCTTCAAGCTCAATGCTAAATCAATTTCCTCACTTATAAAATAAAAGGCTCAGACAAGATGAACTTGAACTCTAAAGTCATATTCAATTAACTTAAAACTGTTTTTGACCCAAGGGAATTTTAGCAAAACCTACAAAAGCAGCTTTCTAAAGGTTAGAGAGAAGGAAATGCTATTCTCTCATGTCTAAAAGACTGAAGGAACACTACTATGTGTAGATTTTTCTATCCTACACCAGGTATATAAAGATGTGTTTTTCCAGATATTATTCTAGAGGCACTGTGCCATAAGTACTGACCCTCTTTAATACTAATAAAAGAATAATAAATAAATGTCATAATTGGCAAATATATGGGAGGGAACTTGGAGTCAGTATGGAATGGTTTCACTATGCAACCCTGTTTATAGAAAACAAGGGAGAATGCACGCTTGAAAATGGTGTTACTTTGTCACTAGGACATAAACACAGGAAACAATGTGCCAGAATTATGATTACGGTGCTTAAAATACATAGACATGTCATTATAAAAGTACTTTCAGCCTAAATAGTTTATATTTAGACTTTCAAAGGTTTAAATGAAAGAGAAATATATTATAATGTATATAAGGAACTTATGTTTCGATTTCTAAATTGTATATTTGCTATTCCACGAAGATTCAAGTAATTAAAATTAGAAACAGTGGATTTTTAAGCCATAGGACACCTTAAGTAAATTTAACGAATATTTGGGTGGTCCGGTACTTTTTACAGCTTTTTATTTAGAACATGTTGGTATCCACGTGGCCAGTAACTTATGAAAACAATGTGAGAACTTTTGGTTTCAAACACTACTAGAAAGGATTTTTCTCCCATAATAAAATGGACTTTAATAACATGATCTATCACCATATGAATTTTACTATCAGATTCATCTTATGACCTGAAAAGTTTGAGTATTGAAAGTACATGATTTCAACATTTTATAGTCCCAACTATGACACAACCATATGGTATGAATCTTGAAGACAGCCTTCTCATGAAGGCTCCAATGTACTAAAATTTCTTTCTGGATGAGAATACAGTTTAACAGTTACTGTCTTGTAAAGGATATATTCCTAGAGTCAGCCCAGTCATGAAAAAAATATTTCCCTAAAAATAAGGGCAAAATTTGAGGATGAAAAGTATCCTCTAAAATAAATTTCTATACAACTCTCTCAAGAACTCATTATGATATGATATATGACATCACTGAAGAAAAAAATTAAAACGCTAATAAAATGATTTTTACTGGAACCTAAGAAATGAAAAACTTGTTATAACATTGAAGGGCTAATTTAAAAAGAATGTTATCTTGTCCTTCTGACACCAAAACAACATTTCTAAATAGAGCATTTACAAGGAGAAGACATTAATCCTTGAGATCTCTCAGAGAGGGTATTTTGTCTTTCAAGATGATTTTGCCATTACATTCTATGCTTTATTTCAGATGATTATATTACAAAATATAAATGTTAGACAAAAACAGGGAAGAAAGAAGTAACCTGACAAAATTCTTCAATAAATGGCAATCACTACTCATCTAAACTGACTCCTCATTCCAAACTTTAATAATTACATTGTAAGTATGATAGGAATATTAAATGACTCCTAAAAGGAAATTTTTACCATATAACCAACTACATTACATAATTATAAACAATGTATTCTTTTTAGTTTCCCCTCATAAGGGAAAGTAAACTGAATGTTATATACGTATAATACATTATGTATGTGTAATAGAAAACTGTATAACAAAAGTATCATCTGGGAGGAGAAAATGTCTCTGCCTTTAAATGTTAACATATAGATTGCTTCTAATATATGTGAAATTTATTAGATTTCAAAAGTTAAACTGAAGTTTTAGAATGAATTTAGAAAATAGGTTAAGTCTTTACGGAGACAATCTTATTTGTTTTTAAAAAACCATAACAAATCC